TCCTTAATGTCTAATATAGTGTAGTAGTAGGTACTAGAAAGGCGATCGAGGGTCTTATTAATAAGAGGAAGTAGATAGCGATCTTTAATAGTAATAGTATTAAGCCTGCGATAATCGATATAGAGGCGTAGGCTACTATCCTTCTTTAGTACGAACAGGATAGGGGCACTAGCAGGGCTGTTACTATACCGAATGCGGCTATTAGCTAGGTTTTCCTCTAGGTACTTACGCAATATAGCAAGCTCTCGCTTACTAAGGTTGTGGAGGGGGCTAAAAGGAACCTCCTTGCCCTCTATAATATCAATCTTATAATCCGTCTCCTTAAATATAGGCAATGTCGATGCTAGGTAATGTTTAAATATATTAATATAGGTCTCTCGAATAGGCTCTAGTATACGAGCAAGCTAATTAGGGTCTATACTATTAGGGGGCATAGGCTTATCGTTACTACCGAGTAGGTCGGTAGTCGGATTAGCTAAGGCGGAGGCTAGTATTAGGTTGCTAATAAACAGGACCCTAATATTATTAGGACACTCGCTAACATTAATGTGTTTAATGTCCTCTTTCCTAGCGATTCTAAATCGCTACTTCTAGAGGCCTAGGTCTATAGCTATAGCGTAGTACTTAAGAACAGGGTTGCTAATAACAATAGTAGCTCCCCTATATAGGTTGTCTATATCTACTACGTAGGTAGTAAAGTCTAGTAGGCGTTTATTTCCGAGGTCGTCCTTTAGAGCTATAGGAATATAGTAGGCCCTATAGGTTAAGTGCCGAGCGTTATTAAACTAAGCAAGGGTTAGTAGGTTAGTCTTCGGCAGTTGTCGAAGGTCTAATTGCTTAGCTAGGCGATAGCTAATAAGGGCACTAACTGAATTTCCTAGATCTAGTATAACCTTAGTTTAATAGGTAGTACCCTTCGTATCCTATATAAGGTAGGAGCGTGTTATAGCTAGCACAATGTCGATAGTCTTACGCCGTACGAGGCTAACAGTTAGTGCGGCGCTTACTCTTTTTTCGAAGGTTAGCCTATAGGGGTAGCGTTAGCCGCTAAGAGGTGCTTTCGGTGTTTAGCGGAAGTACGGTTAATTCGGGCCTAGTCCTTAGGTTTGTTACATTAGCCTAGTAGATAGCTAGTACTATTACAATTGAAGCACTTTAATCTAGTTAGGGGGTTGCTATAGCCGCTATTGCTGCTATTATTAGTTAAGCGATTAGTACTATAGGGATACGAGCCTCTTCTACGGCCCCTATTACGGCCTCCTCTATATAGTCGCCGGCTACGGCCCCTTCTACGGTCGTTATTACTATTCCTACTGTTAGCATTGTTGTCTTAGTAGGAACCTTAGTTTCCTCCGCGGCTACTACGGTTGCTACGGTTAGTACTAGCTAGTCGGATTCGTAATTCTAGTCGCTATTAGAGCTAAACAGCCCGTTCGGCTGTTTCTACTTCGACTATAAATTGAATACGTATTAGGTTGGCCTATTCAAACATACGGCGGCGGTCTAATTCGAGAATAAGCTCCTACCTAAGCTTAGGGCGTATTTTAGAGATCTATATAGAATTAGTCTTAGCCGGGAGGTTATCCTCGAGGGTCTTTAAATAGGCCTCGAATAAGCGAGCCGATTGATTAGTCTTCTATTTAGCTCGAAGATATAGGTCCTAAGTATGTTGTTGCCTTAGTATAGGGTTTCTAAGGGTATCTAGCATAATAGTTTTGTAGGTTTGCTACTAAATAGCGGTTTTATTATCGAGGGAATCGAAATAGTTATCCTATATGCGCTTTAGGTCGCTATTAATATACTGCATAGCGTATACGACTAAGGAATAGTCGTCTAGTAGCGCTCTTAGTGCGTTGCGCTAGTTAAGTTTACAGTTACGAATGTAGTCGTTATACTACTTTCGACTAGATCCGTTAAATACGGTATAGTCCTTAAGTTTAGCGTCCTTCTTTTAGATAGGTAGTAAAGAAGGTCCCGCTATTAGTTTAGTTGTCGGGGCTTCCTAAAGGCGACGGAGCTCGAGGAGATCGTCCTTTAGCTATTGTTCTTAATATAGGGCAGTAAGCCTGTTTTAAGTAGCTTCTTAAAGTCTCCCTAATAGTTAAGGGCTAAAGGCTAATTAGCTATATCGTCGATTAACAATGTTATTAAGAATGTCGTTAATAGGCAACTCTAGGTCGTTACCTAGGATTACAGGTTCTTCTTTAGTAGGCTCTCCGGTAGGCTCTTTAGTAGGAGGCACTTTAGCAGGTACTCTAGTAGGCACTTTAGTAGGCACTTTAGCAGGCACTATACTACTAGCATTGTCGTTACTAGCGCTACTAGCGGCAGTACGGTTATTGTTTCGTAATAAGCCGGCTATTGTAATAAGGGGTAATACTAATAATATATTATTAGCCCCTAAGATACGGATGTAGCGGAATTAGTAGATATTAGTCTAGTACGATTAACTTAGTATAATAGGCCGTATAGAAGGCCTTGCTTAATAATTAGTACGGTTGCTTCGATAGAATAGTACGTATAGGTCCTGTTCTTCGGGCGTAATATAGTTAGATTAGTCTTGTTCGTAGCTATACCGCTAAAAGCTTGAAATAAGAACTATCTAGCTGCTGCTCTTAAAGGGTAGATCGAATACTATATAAGAAGGGTCTATTAGTAGGTAGATAGGGTGGTAGTAGGTATAGGTAGTATTCGATAGAGATCTAAGAGGAGAGGGAGGAAGGTAGGCTAGTTAGCCTAACGCCAAGCGCCAAGCCCTGCCTAAGGCATCAAGACCCTAGCTTCACTCGAGCCTAGTTATATACCAATTACGTATAACCTCTTTGGTCCTAACAGCCTATTACTAAGCGCTAAGCCCTACCTAAGGCATTAAGACCCTAGCTTTACTCGAGTCCGGTTACATACTAATTACGTATAACCTCTTTAGTCCTAACATTATATAAGATAAGCTGCTCCTTATACTACTACTCTAGGTCCTTAACTTACCGTAACCCTATTAGGTAGGCTAGTTCCTTACTAACTATAGTTCGTTACTACTATATATTTAGAGTAAGCTTATTCCTTAGGCGTCCGAGAATTATACGTAGTATTAGTACTATTATATTATCGTTATCTATAATCTCTAAGTAATAGCGTACGTCTAGGATAGTAGCTAGGTATTCGATAGATTTATTATATACTAACCTAAATTAATTAAATTCCGCTAACTAGATCCTATAGATATCTATAGCTATCTTAACCCCTTATTAATATATAGGGTTAACTAGTATACGAGCTATATCTAGTATAGGACTTACTAGTTATACTAGCTCTACTAGTTTATTCGAATAGGGATTAGCGTATATCTAGGTCTCGTACCTAGTTAGATATATCTTAGTTTACTTAAACTAGCGGTCCTAGTTGTTTAGTCCTTAAAGGGTAATTAATATATTTAGTACTACCGAGGCGGCTAGCTAACGAGAGAGCTATTATAAAAGATATACTAATCTTAATAACGATTATAGAAGCTTAATTAAATAGTTATTGTTTTAGTGCCGCTAGGACTATCGATTGTTTAAGGTCTCGTAGAATAGTAAGTTCTTTTATACTATAGAAGTCTCTAATACTATAGATTAAATCCGGGCTTGTAACTATTATATATAGCGTAGTAGATTTCTTACGTAGTACTGCCTTACTAGCGGTTTAGAATAGCTTTATTAATCGCCTCTGTTCTGTCTATTCTATAGTCTAGAATACAGTGTGAAAATCCTTCATCTGCTAAGGAGTTATATGATTATCATGTGACTGAGCTAACGCGTCACAACTCCTCGTTGCGGCTGATAGAGCGCTGTGACCTCTTCCTATTACACATCGCTGCAATCACCTCCTATTACACATCGCTGCAATCACCTGCCTGCAGGAGTGCCGTGAATTGGCTCAAAGTTGACTTTGACAATAAAGCCTCGCTTTATCCAATGTCCCATCTCAGCCAAGTACCACATATGCATATTGCACAAGACACTGAAGACAGGAAAACAGTCATAATGAATATCAAATTCTTACTGTGAGCGAACCATGCTACTAGCTAGTTCCTAACCCACAGTCCAGTGAACTTCGTCCTGTAATCCCTGACCCATCCCAACTCCTCACCTTACCCTTTCTCCGTAAAATCCACCAGACTTTTCGGACTCCCTAGCCCCTCAGACATCTTCTCCTTTTCATCGTTAATGATCATCCAATTCAGCGCCTTACGCATCTCAACAGCTTCCCTCATCCTCTCTCTACGATCCATATCCAAACTCGAAAGCTTCTTATGACTTCCCGACTTCCAAGGGACTAAAACTTCCAGACTCCGATCGTGTGTTTGTACAGGATTATTGCCACTGTCCGTGGTTGAAGAAAACACTATAACGCTCGACCTCCTCTTCACACTTCTCTTGTCAACCAGTAGAGGCAGACGTGTCATCATACTATCCAGTTCATCGAATACACCGTATTCTCCTCCTCCGGGAGAGCCTTGCGTGGATGGCGGCGATCCATGCGGTGTAGTCGTAAGTGTAGATCTTCTCCGCCTCTTCTTGTCCCTACACAGAAAGTCGTCAGGGACAATGTCACTTTGCCATGCCAACAGAAGGCTTCGATGCCGCGACTGCCGCGTACCTTTCCAAATACAAAGCGCGATCCGCAGGTCGTTTGGGTAGACCATCCGCATCGAACTCAAAACGTTTCTCGAAACTCGCGAAACTCTCTCTTTCTCTCGCCCCTCTCTTGCCAATTCCGCTGCTCTCGGATGTAGGCGAGGAAATCGTCTCTGCTGCAAAATAACGCCCATTAGTCATGACCAGATCCTCTGTGCTTTGTGTCCGGTTGAGCTTACTGATGGGCCACTTCATTTCACCGTTACGGTGAAATTTTGTGGGGCTGGCGGGGGTTTCGGAGAATCTTTGGCCATGACCTTCGTGGTCTGGTTGGAAGCGCGTGAATGTTTCCAGAGCGTAGACGTCGTCGTCTTCGACAGCGGGTCCAAAGATTAGTGATGACCTGGTGACGGTGTAGAGGAGGACGTCTAGCCAGCCGTTTGATACGATAATGGCGCCGATTGCGGTGAGCTCCTGAATTGAGGCTTTGCCGCCTGCCATGACTTTGAGGCGGATGACGACAGCGGGTAAAGTGCAGACCACGTAGACTAGTGGGTAGAAGAGGATGCTCTTTACTGCGGACTTGGCTCGAAGGCGGAGATCAGATGTTGAGTAGAAGATGGTCCGCACCCTTCGCAATAGTATGACAAGCATGACGCTGTAGATGACAACTACGCCGAACTCGGTTACGAGGATCCAAGCATAGTGTAGCCAGAGCCGCGTCGCCATGTAGTCTTGATTGATCCAACACCAGAGGCCAGCCCGTACGTAGAAATCGCGAGGATGCAGTACGATGCCGATGGTTGCACAAAAGAAGTTGAAGATCCAGCCCAAAACTATGCATCCGAGAAAGGGCCAGTACGGCATCCTCTTATCTATGATGATATCCATGAAGAGGTGGATGGCCATTGCAAATGTGAAGACGGCGCTACCAACGTCCCCAGCATTGAGAAACCTGCGGTAGTCTCATGTCAGCAGTCACCCGGCGTATGCCTTTGATTATCACGCAGTGATCTTACGAACCAGCCTTGAGTCCAACATGTTGGAGTGAGAACTGTGATGGCGTTCTTGCTTAGCCACTCGAGGTTCATGACAAATCCAGTAGCTTGTATGAGATCGGCTAAGACGAGGTTGATAAGAAGCGCAAGGTATTGGTTGGCTCTTGCATAGCCGCGATGCTTCCAGCTGGTGAGACGCCATGCGAGATATGCGAATAGTCCTGCGGTAGAGACCAGAGACACAAAAGCGAAGGACGTGACCACGGCGAGAGCATCATGGTACTCGGTTGGTAGAGGCGATAGTGACGCTCGCGGATCTGGTTTCTTCGCCATCAATGTTTATGTGCGAGTGATTGCTTTGATCTTCATTTAAATTCTGTTGCACAAGAGCGATTGGCACACTGAAGCAAGCACTCCAACCTCTTGGCCTTAGACAAAGTGTCAGTCCGGATGGTTAAGAGGAGTTGCGTCGTCTATCAAGGCCATGTGTAGTAATAATAGTTTGCCCGTCTGCAATTTGGGGCGTGCATAGCGGAGAAGCCTGGGGGTGCGCGCGTTGACGAGGAATGAGATGCTTCATCCCGGTAGATGTGGCCTCTAGGTACTAGGTAGGCTCTCAGAGTGTGGATTGGAGAGTGGTGCGTCGCCTGGTGGGAGGCGTATAAAGTCCCATACCAGCGTCCGAGCGCCTGACCCACAGCTGACCGGGGCTTCCGACCTTGCAGAGCGGCGGTCGGCGTAGATTGTATGCGCTTCCGCTCCTGCGCGTCGACGCGTACCGGTTTGTTTAGGTTATTGTTTTCTACCTCGCTATCGTACCTTACTATCGCTCTACGCTATCGTTTCTATCTCTTCTATTATTTAAATTATACCTTTAATATCTTCTAATACTATATTAATTGCGGACTACCTTAGAGGAGGTAGGGATAGGGATATACTAGTATCGCAGGTATAGGGTAACTTCGCGCTAGGTATAAGATTACGATAAAAGCGGAGCGCGGTCGGAATCGCTAACTTTTTAGTAAAAAAGGAAGAAAAGGACGATTTAGTCGATTCTAGTAATAAAAACGCGTTAGTATCTCTAGACTATCGCCGCCCTCGAAAGTCTCGAGTTCTAGTTAAGCTAGACTCGTACTATACGTATAAGAAGGGTTATATTAGTAGGTAGATAGGGTAGTAGTAAATTAGTATAGTATTCGATAAGAAGCTAGGAGGAGAGGGAGGAAGGTAGGCAAGTTAGTCTATTGCTAAGCGCTAAGCCCTACCTAAGGCACTAAGACCCTAGCTTTACTTAGCCTAGTTATATACTAATTATATATAGCCTCTAATATACGCTTCCCTTCTAAAGGCCGCGCCCTCGTAGCCTTTCTATATTCTAACCTCGACCTTCGCTACTAACTTAGTAAGTCTAATAAACTACTTAGCCCGCGCTAAATTAAACACTTAACTACCTAATTATATAACTATATTGAACCTTACCTTCTAATACAATGTCTAACTCTAACTACGCTATCCTTATATATAATAAAGTAAAGGGATATAAAGCTATAAGAATTAAGGGCTATCGACTAATTATAATACGGGCGCGTCTTCCCTACTATAATAGGTAGACGTACGAGGTATTATAGCACTGCCTCCGCTCTAAGTAATGTCGTTCTAAGTTCTTTACGTCTACTCTAAAAGACCTAGAAATGTCCGCTTCCGAGGGTTTGTCCGCTTCTAAGGGTTATTATTCTTATTATTACGAGGACTATTATTTACTATTATAGTTTTACTAGCTCTAATTAGTTAGGTTTAGCAGCCTTCAATTGTTAATCTTATCTTATCTTTTAAAAAACATAGCTCGTCTAGTTTCTATAGGTAAAGGCTATTATAAGTATAGTAGTAGAGGTTCGCCTCGCTTAAAGGGTCGGAAAGATCGAGAAGTAACCTATTATCCGCAAGATCGACCCCGGCTAGCTTAGCTCTATAGTTTTACCCTTAGTTAGTCTATTAGTCGCTTAATCTTTTAGGCGGCTTAAAGTTTTGATTAAAGTTTTAATTAACCCCTTAGTACCTTAGGGTCGTAGTATAGGTAAGGTTATATCTATAGGCGTAGTAATAATAGCAAGTAATATTAATAATAGCGGCGCTAGCCGTCTTAGCGCTAACTTTACCTTGCTTCTAATTTCCTTTTTTAACTAATAATAACTCGGCAATACCGTTACTAATATAGCTATGTCCTTTCTTTCTTAAATAGTAATACACTCCGTAATACCGTTACTAATATAGCCGCGCCGGCCGTATCGCCCTTTAGTATAAGCGTAACGCCGTCGTTATTATTATTATTACTATCTATACGTACGCGCGCCGCCTTCGCCGATCGCCTAGGCCTCGAGGCCTCGTTAGAAGGAAGGAATAACTTATAAGAGGGGGATCTATAGGGCGCGTTAGTAAAGAGGTAGAATCCTTAAAAGAGTAGGCGATTAGTTAACGCGTCGTAGCGCGCCTAGTATAGTCTTATTATCCTTTATTGCTAACAATTGCTTGCCTCTAATTAGTTAGCTAATAGCACCCCGAGGGTAGTATTAATCCTAGGCCCTAATAGTAACATTATAGGCCCTTAGCCTTCTTCTTGTTCTTTATACTAGTCTAATACTCGTCTAACAACTTAGCTATATCCTTAAAAGCTGCTTTAGCTTCCTATAAATCCTATTTAGGTAAATAGCCTTGCTACCTTAATAGGTATTCCTTCTTGCCTTGCCTAGTACGGTGCTTTAGGATACGTTCTATAGACTATAGCTCTTCGCCGTCTGCTAGTACTTCTTTATATTCGGTAGGGGCTTCTTTATCGGGGTCTCCGCGGTAGTAATATAGTTTAAGGAGAGATACGTAGAAGGTATTATAGATAGTATAATAAGGAGGAAGCTACAACTAGTAGGCCTATATACCCTTAGCCTCTCGAATACGGAATAGGCTAATATATCTTAGTACGAGCTTAGGCCTTGTTTTGCTATTAGGTAATAGGTGTTTACAGATACGGAGGTTCTTAGTACTTAGTATAACTATATCGCCTTGTTGAAATGTTATTAGTATATAACGCTTATCGTAGTAGGCCTTTTAGTATTCTTAAGCCTTTGTTAACTTCTTAGCTATCTTAGCATAGATTTCTCGTATCTTCTAGACACGTTCTATTGCCGCTAGTGTCTCTAGTACTTAACGCGCTTCCCTTTCCTTACGCTCGGCCTCGAGCGATAGGGGGTCTTATAGTATAGCGGCGTTCTAGCCTATTATAGCTATATATAGTAATACCTTAGTTAATAAGTAGATACTATTATTATACACGAATTTAGCTAGTTATAGGAGGTTAACCTAGTCGTTAGGATTCTTGTTAATATAGCTACATAGGTACTACTATAGGGTAGCATTCTGCCTCTCTATTTGACCGTTAGTCTATAAATAGAAGGCTGTTAATAGCCGATACTTTAGTCTTAGCTATAGGCATATTTCGCTCTAATAATAAGATATAAATATTAAGCCCCGGTTAGAGACTATTCCTTTAGGGGTCCCCTAATAGGTATAGAAGATATTGTTTTATAGTGCTTTAGCTATATTAATAGCCGTCTAATCCTTCCGAGTAGGAATATAGCGAGCACCCTTAGTAAATCGGTCTATAACGACTAGTATAGCGTTAAAGACGTCTCTGCTTCCTTTTCGTTTAGTAGGGGGAAGACCTATAATAAAATCTATTATAAGCTCTACGAATAGCTTATTAGGGATTAGTAATAAGGACAACTCGCTAAAAGGCTAATGCTTCGGTACCTTAATACGCTAGTATACGGTATACGTATCGATATATTCCTTTATATCCCGCTTACTATTTAGCTAGTAGTATATACGCGATAGTAGCTCGTGCGACCTCTCTATACTATAGTAACCGGCAAGCTTACTATTGTAGTGTCGCTTAAGAAGCTCTTATCGGATCGAATACTCGGTAGGGATATAGAGCCTGCCCTTATAGCGCAAATAGCTATTAGCATTAATCGACCAATTCTTGCTAGATCTAGCCTTGCGGCTACTTCTAAGCTAATCTATACGGGTAGTAGTAAAGGCGTCCCTTTACTAAGTACGTAATAGCTTATCTATAAACGCTCGTCTATCCCCTTCTATAAGTTCGCTTAATAGCACCCTCGCTATCTTACGTAGTACGCACTATATATATCTAGTAGTACTAGCAGCCGGATTAGCTATATTAGTGCTTTAATCGCTGTTACTATATATAGCGATATCGACTAGGGAGTTATTATAACTTCTCCTATCGATGTCCTTAGCCCTTGCCTTAATACGCACTATTAATATAGTAAGAGTATTAATATACTTTAAGCCGTCGCAGAGTCCGGTAAGCCGCTTATCCTACGCTTGCTTATTAATAATATAGGCTATAGCAATCTTATACTATAGGGTTAGAAACAATAAATTAATAGATTGCTAAGTCCCGCTATCGTAATTAGGTCGTCTCGATAGGCTATTAGTAGGGTTGCTTACGCCTAGCCGATATAATATATTAAAATCAAACCTAGCGAGGTAGACGGCCTATCTAGCCTATCGACCTATAACCCTAGTAACCTTCGTAATTCTACGGAGGTTGTTATAGTCCGTATAGACCTAAATAGTATGCTAGGCACTATCGAGATAGTAGCGCTAGTGCTTAAAGGCCTCTATAATAGCTAAGAGCTCTTGCTCGTAGGTCTCGTAGCGACGTTCTATATTAATTATCTTTCTTAAGAAGAAGGTAATCGGGTACTAATAATAGTCCTTGTCCGATTGTTAGGATATAATAGCTAATATAGCGAACTGTAAAGCGTTAGTCTTAATGCGGATTAGTTTGCTTAGTACGAAATAGTATAATAAGGGGACTTTAGTAAAGCGTTGCTTTAAGCCGTTAAAAGCGGCTTGTGCCTTATTAGTCTATTTGAACTCTCTAGTCGGGTTAGCCTTAGTTTTAGTAAGCTTAGTTAGCGGCATTACGTACCGTAAGTAGCCCTCGATAAATCGACGGTAGAAGTTAGCGAAGCCGAGGAATAACTAAAGTTCTTTAATACTAGTAGGTGTTAGCTACTTAGTAATAGTTTTAATCTAATTAGGATTAGCCTTAATACACTCGGTTGAAACGAGGAAACTAAGGAAGGACACCTCCTTAGTAGTAAAGGTGCATTTAGAAGGCTTATAATATAGCCTATAGGTCCTTAGGCGATCGAGTACCTTACGGACTATAGCCTAGTACTCCGTAATATTAGGTAAATAGGTATAAACTAGGATGTTATCTAGGTAAACTA